AATGTATATCGAAAGGAGTACGAGGCGTCAGACGGAGTGCACTTTACGGAGAAAGGGTACCGGGCCTTACTTCTCGCTGTGAAAATCACTCAGTTGGTTTATTAACCGTGTTAGTAAACGAATTGATTGATTTTTTTAAAGCGACGTTCCAATGACAGTCACTAGAATGTAAATATGTAATGTATGCTGTAAATACGTTTTTGTTTTATTTACTGTAATATATAACAATATCGTTTAATAATTATTTGTGATGGGTATTTTATTAATTTATCCCGTAGTTAATTTTTTTTATTTCTACGGTGAAATTTGAATTGTATAATTCATATTATGACATCGTATTATATATATAATTATGTATTAATTGAAGCAAAATGATTGCATTGTGTAGCGTTGTTTACTGTTTATCTACTGTATTATTATAAATTTGTTTATTTGTCATTGCTTGAAACACATGTGTGTACTTTTGTAATACAGACTGTAATTAATAGGATTAAAATGTACTGATGTTGTTCATATTTTTTCATTAAGGGACCTCAGTTGGAAATAAATTAATTATCTTATCTCTAGGTGTTATAATTTAACAATGAATATACATGTCATACGTGTATATACTAATTAACAAAGTATTGCAAAAGGTGCTGGACACGGGTCTGTAATCGTTGTTAAATGGAAAGATCATAAAGACATAATAAATATATCACAGATTACTTATATTATGTTTTAAATCAGGTATTGCATAATGTTACCTTCTAATGAGATAATACGGGTAAAATAAATGTTGAATATGAAATTAAATAAACAGAAAACACACACACATAAATATATATATAAACGCCTAAAAGAGTACAAATCAACACCAATAACAAAAAAGGAAACATTAAATGATATTAAATATAATTATATATAAGAAAAATGCCTACCTTTTCAAAGATTTCATCCCGTCGAACTCTCCATTTGTGAAACAACAATTCTCATATAGAAAACACAGATTAGCATCAGACCATTTCTCTAATAATAAATCACTCATGGGTACACATTTGGTATGGACCCATTTCTCACAGCCAGTGCACTGAATTGCAACAAAATTGTAAATTACTTTTTATATACCGATGTTACTAAAATAATACCAAGCCATTGTCTTCATATTTCTTTGAAGAACAAAATTTGAGAAAAATTTAGTGTTCTGTATTGAAACAACACCAAGTTTTAGTTTAAAAGGAGATATTTCGAGAAAATTGTACATTAATAACAGCATTTAATCATATCATAAGAAAACAATATAATTACTAAGATTTTGGAAACATGTTTTTTCAGCTAATAAATTTGACGAATCATAATTAATTGCATTAACAATATTTATTAACAACAATCAGTTTATCAAATAAATGTAAAATAAAGGAAATTATTTGATAAGCTTAAATACCCGAATGAAGTTATAATAACTGTATTAACTTTTCATCATTTCAGGTTTTTTATAGAATCTATTCTTTCAGTACTTTTAATACTTTTATTTTTTAAGTTACCGAACGTAATTATGACTGGAATAGCTGCATATGGAGGTGCGGTTCGGATTCTATTTTGTTTCCCCTTGTATTAATAATAACTTAATTTTTACTTTATCGAGAAAGTGTATATACTATAAATGGGATGTACCAGTGTATATAAAGTGCGAATCCCGATATACCTTTTTTACTGTATCTGTCATGTATTTCTGATGTAGAATGATAAACAAACAGACGAAAAATTGATGATTTTGGGATATTATTTATAAGAAATACTTTATCAAGTGATTGTTTCAATAAACTCAGTAAGATATGCAGACGGGTTTATATCGCACCTACAGCCACCTAGGTGCGAAATCGATACACAAATAGGTAAGTATTGAAAATATTGCAAGAACATAGCTTGCAGGAGGGTATCGGGTCCGTTAGCGCCCAATACACTATCGCACCCTACACGTTCGCACCCCACACGTTCGCACCCTACACGTTCGCACCCAATTTTTATTCAAATTCAATTTGAATTATTAGATACTTTTTTATATGTTTATACCAAAAAAAATATATTTTCCTGAATAAAAATTGGGGAATTATTATATGAATGTTTTTTTTTTCCATCAATTTGATGATCAATTATTAAATGTTAATCATATACAAATGTATGATTACTGCTAATTGGTATTTATACACAGCTAAATTTGGTATTATTGTTGTGTGTTTGAAAATCATGATTGTTGTTTTAACTTGCTTTGATGTAAATACTGCAAGTATTTAGCTTGGTATGAGTAAAACATTGAAGATTTTAAAAGAAAAACACGAAAGATAATTGACTTTAACAGCTTGGCCCCTTTGATATCACTTTATTTTGAAACAAGGAAAACATAAATTTATAGCAATACACTAACCAAAAGATGATTAAGATTTATTCAACACAAAAAACAAACGTTGTCAGAATCTCACTTTATTTAGAAACAATGAATTTCTTTTTATAGAAATACACTAACTAAAACATGATTAAGATTTATTCAACACAAAAAAATGTTGTCAGAATCTCACTTTATTTTGAAACAATGAAAAAAAAAATATTTACAGCAATACACTTACCAAAACTCGATTACAAAATTATTAAACACAAAACCAATAAAAAGGGTGCGAACGTGTAGGATGCGAACGGACTTTGGGTGCGAATGTGTAGAGTGCGAAAGTGAAAGGGGGCGAAAGTGAATGGGCGCGAACGTGAATGGGCGCGAACGGACCCGGATTCTTGCAGGAGATTTAAAAGCAGCAGTAAAGTTTTATTTTCAGAAAAATATATCTTTTAACATAATCGTTAATTTTGTATAATATATAACTGGTTTTGTCATTCAGTTTGTTGATATTGAGTCAAATACCACAATGCTGCTTTCGTTATGCGATTCATGTTTACTGTCTAATAATGATACAACACTTTCATTTTCACTGTAGGGACGATTCATTTGTATTGTATATGTGGTGCATTTTCACAGTAGGAATCTTTTTAATTTTAATCAAGTAGAGTCTTACTTTAACCGACTTGCTAACAAAATAAATAAAGTCAGAAGGTTTTGATCATGGTTACTTTTATGAGTGAACTTCTAACGAATTACAAAAATGAATTCCGTAATTTATAAATAACATCAATCTTAAACATTTTACACAGTAAAGAACGTTCATGCAAAAACTGAGGTCACCTTAATGCATGTTTGAATATCTTGCATATTGTTGTTGCAAATAAGCAAATACGTAAATTTGAAACTACCATGACAAATTGAGAACAGTTTATTACTACACGGTTTTAGTAGTTCTACATGTCAAGGGTATATTCGCCGTACAGTTGATTTTAGATGTTGCTGCGTATCGAAGCGAGGTTGGTAGATAGAACGTCCAAATAATGTTTTCTTCAAATACTTAAAAGTATTTATCGATGTTTAGGAAAACAAAATGTTCAGCATTGTATATTATTTATATTACGTCATTAACACTTATTAATGACAAATTTATAAACAACAACAAAATCATAAAACGCACGGTCACGTTTAGTTTTCGAGTCAAAATACCATGCTTTTATTTATAGTTTAATCAAGTTTGTGTTACACAGAGTCTTTCTTCCACGATGTTTATTCTGGAGGAAGATATGCAAACTAACCTGCACGTATATCAGTTGTTATTAAATAGAAAAGAAAGGATATGGGGTATCCATTCATGACACAAAATCAGCTATTTAATGTTTGCATTTTTGAAGCGTTTGTAAGGAGTTCTTGTGAACATACGAGCGTTAATCATTCAGGAAGTACAGTTCGAGTTAAAACAGGATTTCTTTAATTGATATTGATGACTTAACATGCATACAACGTGTATAATATATATTTGTATACAAATTGTATATAACTCAGAATATTCTTAATATCCTATATCGGCTTCTGTCAGTTTGTTGTTGTTTATCGTTTGAGAACGCACAACGTACGAAATCATTTGTACGGCGGTTATTCGCCGTGCATATTCAAGTAATCATGTATCGATAAGTTCGGATATTTAGATTGCAAGTGTCATCGATATTAAAGTCATCAAATCATTTTTACATGTCCAACTATTACATAAAACCACAACGAAAATTTATCGCACCTAAAAAATATTCCACATTAGAAATGATCGCACTTACAGTGATAACGCATCGCATTTACAGTTAATATGAATCGCTTTCAATAATTGATATTCTGGATTGTGTTGCTTTAATTACACATTTTTGGACTTTAAACATGTTAGTGTATATTGTGAAGTCATATTCGAATGAAATTGTGTTGAAACAAACATTCAAATCAATTATTTTGTATTTTCAAAACGTAAACAAACACAGTTTTTCCCACCATCGTATATTCTACAAAAGTAATACTCGCGTATGACAGTGAAAATGAACTATCTGGATTCGCACTTTATATACACTGTGTACTATCAACGACAAAAATCTTTTTTTGTTGACGGTCATTGTCAAATTTACTACCTACTACATCTTTTTTGTTGGCGTCTATGTTAGAATAATTTGTATGTTTGTTTAAACATTTTAGTCAGTTGTGATGTATGTCTGTGATGTATGTTTACACAGTTTGGCTGCTTGATCCCAATTATTGAAAAATTAACCTATAATTTTATGTCTGTTTGGGTTGCTTTGCCAAATTTTGTCAATATAGCGGAACAATAAACAACTGTCGTACAAGTGGGAGGTTAATCTAGCTATAAAACCAGGTTTAACCTTCCATTTCTTCGGAAAATGCCTGTACTGAGTCAGGAATATGGCAGTTGTTTTTCACTTGTTCCGTTGAATGATAGCGTTTGATTTTGTCAGTTTTTATGGACTTCCCCTTTTTAATTGGCCTTGGACTTCGGTATGATTGTTTTGCTTTTTTTTTTTTATAGTTGTCTAGTTGGCAATCATACCACGTCTTCTAATCTTATATTAATTTTTAAAGTGTATCTTCTTCATTGCAGCAAAACATCGGCAGAGCTTTATTTTGGGGATCACAAGGATTAAAACGTAACATTCATACAGCCTTGCAATACTTGCGGATGAGTGCCGAAACAGAGGATGCACAGTCTATGTATGACTACGGTATCATTCTGCTAAGGGTAAGATATGCGCACTTCAAAACCTATTTAGGCCTCAGATGTGTCTAACACAGTATTTTTTTCATAAATGAATACGTGTAGTCCTAAAAAAAAAATTTTACACTTGGTATACATAGTTATGTCAAACGACCTAGCATTCGATATATGTCTAGTTAGTTTTTGAAGAAAACTTGTACAATGACTTCCAAATGTCCCTTTTCCTCTTGTTTTTAAAAATGAAAGGTATTGATTTTTTTAATAAAAAATATATATAAAGTTAAATGGATTTCTTCACTGTTCGAACAAACTTTCTTCCATCCAGATACTCGTTCATAGCAATTTTTTTTTAAAATAGCAGATTGTGCAGCATGATATATACTGTCTTGTACAAAACATTTATTCATGTCATCATAATTCGAAAGAATTTTGTGTCCTATAGTATGTTAGCTTTGTTGGCTTTGTTTGATTTTTTAATTATATATTGAATGACTTTGTCCAAATGTAGAATTGCAATGTCCTAGCTGTTTTTTACGTGCATTGTTAAAATGCCCGATTGAATGACATTCAAATACAAAATAACGTAATTGAAAAAAAAAATCAACGATCTTACCTAGACTCGTTTGATTTACAGCTTGACCACTGTGTAGCATCACCACCCGATATAGGTACCCCCGAAGCAAAGAAACAATGATAGCAAAAATATCCATTCTAATCACATAGTAAACAACTATTCGCCGCTATTCGCCGCACAATTTATCCGCTTTATTTACATGAATTTTTCAGTGTAAACAATAGTTTATTTCGAAATACAGTGTTGTTCAAACTTAAATATGATATACCTTTGATCTACGAAAACGTCAAATGAAAAGTTGACGGATAAATGTGTTTTTAAGGGCATACGATACAGTTACAGGGGAGGTAATGACGTTGCTAACGTAATATGTTACTTTTCACGACATCAAACTGTGACATATCGGGAAAAGATGCATTTTCGACTGATTTTTATCATTCAGACTGATTTAACTTGAAAACGAGTTCATTGACCACTCTTTTTAAAAATGACATTTGACTTGTTTATATATGAAGATTATTTGTGCCAATTTTTGTGAAAAATTCACCGATGATTTTTTTTTAAATTAGATAAATATACAGCAAAAAATGCCGTTATTTGACTAAAATCATGAAAATATGATAAAACGAACAATTTCCAGAGAATTAATACACAATTTCAAAGTACACTTATGTAGAGAAGATATTCCAGATGCTTTTACAAAAATCCGCTTGCGTTTATCTTTTGAAACAAAAAAGTTAAGTATGTCTTTCCAAAGGATAGAAATGTCCAAGACACCAAAATTTCCGGTAAATGTCTAAAATTTCGACCCCATTTATCTCTAAAAGTAGCACATGAAGGTATATATTTTATTACATATTTCAATTGACTAGGTGAAAAATAGCTTGTATGCAAACTCTCGTCAAAAATTCACCGTGGGATCAAAACTGTATCGTATGCCCTTAACAAGTCTGAACTCGTCACATGCTTCGTTGAACAGGTACCAACCCATCCGATTCTGACAGTTTGAAGAGAGAGAAAACCAATTAAGGATCATAATCAACCCTATATAGTAGCTACATTATTAGAAATCACTACCACAAAACTTTCCTTGTCAGCATAACGTAGAATATAACGAATATAAGAAGAATTTAACCTTACCTGACTTCACATTTGGTTTATTTTCCACCGCTTCGGGGGTACCTTTATCCGGTGGTGATGCTACACAGTGTTGACATATTGTTTATGGGACGTGATTTACAAAGGATAGTGGAGATTACCCCTGAAACTTACTCTTCTCGCCAGTTTGTTGTTTTATTAGTTTGTTCCTTTATTTGTATTCGGCAGACTTCATTGATGGTTTTCTTAAAAAGATTGAAGGAATCTATTAAAATCCTTAACTTCACATTTAGCATTATTGAATTCTTATTATTAAAATCTTTAAACTTGGATGATTATTTTGATCGAATTTATCCCTATGAACTCGAATAAAGAATACCACAGATACTCTATATCTAGACTCACATCTAGAAATTGACCGGGGCTGAGAACTAAACTTAACGACAATTATTTCAAATTTCCGATCGGGAACTTTCCCTTTATATGTAGTAACAATTTTCAAGCAGACAATAATTCGATACCCTAGTCAACCATTGGGTAACGTTCTAACAAAGTACAGAATATTTACATTTTCAATCTTTGCTAACGACAGTAAAGATCAAAATGATTCGATATATGCAAATTGTGTAACATAACATTTAGAACATACATGTTGATAAGATTGATCCTTTTACACAGCAGGTTTTTCTTCTTTCCCTTAACTTGCATCGATTTTTTTTTTAAACCCTGTTGCTAGCATATATACATTTTGTTTATTATTATTTAGACTCTTCAAAATTCAAGAGTCAATCCCAAATTGAGGTAAATTATATGGCCTTCAAAATACCGTTTCGATTCCTAACATCACTGAAGAGACATTAATTGTCGAAATCCGGATATGGTGTACAAATTTTGCACCTCATGTTTGCGGTATACCATCTTTTCCGCAAGTTTATTTTTTTCTGTTTGGTATTAAATTAATAATTAAGATTTTATTTATTAATTTAATAGCCTCAAACCACAATTATTCTTTCCATTGGTTACAATGCATTTCTTTGTAAAAGTCAAATTGAATTTAAAAAAAATTGCACCGCATCAAACATGAAATAAATTTAACTGTTTATAGACCATTATTATTCTAATAAAATATTCTTTTCCCAGGACAATCCATCAGTGCTTTTTCTTTTGAGAGCCCTATTAACATGCCAATGGTAGGATTTGAATCTTGAATAAATGACGAAGGCTAATTTCTATCTTACTTTCATTTTGGCCAAATCACTACTTTCACTTTCAACAATAAATTTTTTCCACATGTTTTACTTATTTCAATATATATGCAACTGATAGGACCACTTAAAAAGTAAACAATTCAAAGAAAACAGTAGTCAGAATACTCAGGAAGAAATACCCCATATAATAATTGGGAACTATATTCCTAGACCACGAACAAAGGGAATTAATTGTGGTCTGAAGCCTATTAGACATCAAAAAATTTAAAGTATTCTTATGCAACTTCACATTTACTTAGCATGATATCTTAGCAGTATAAATGCCTAAATTCATTACATTCTGACAATTATAAAAAAAGTTTGGAATGTTATTATATTAGTATATCTGTCTGCGGAACATGCTATTTGCAAAGTTTTAAGAATTCAGTCAAAATTTTATAAAGAAATTATTTGTTTGGTATCCCTATTGTTTATTTACTTCTAAACAACTAAAAGTAATTTAGACTTGACACTTTTGAATTTTTAAGACATTTTGCTCTTCATATTTTTAAATGTGTTTGTATGTCATGTTATGTCCCAGGGTCAACTCATTTTTGTAAAAACTTATTGAAATTGCATTTATAAGGTACCCTCATTGATTCAATGAAGTAATATGGTGCATTCTTACAAAATGTTTTCTTTAATTTTCATTAGAAATCATGTTAACTGTAAAAAAATGCCAATAAAAGAGGGACGAAAGATACCAGAGGGACAGTCAAACTCATAGATCGAAAACAAACTGACAATGCCATGGCCAAAAATAAAAAGACAAACATACAAATAATAGTACAGATGACACAACATAGAAAACTAAAGACTAAGCAACACGAACCCCACCAAAAACTGGGGGTGATCTCAGGTGCTCCGGAAGGGTAAGCAGATCCTGCTCCACATGTGGCACCCGTCGTGTTGCTTATGTTATTACAAATCCGGTAAATAGTCTAATTCGGTATGTGACATTCGTGAAAAGGGAAGGGTATTGTAGTTACGACATAAGGAACATATCCGATATCATCTGTGAAACGGTTATTCCATAACGGTCAACCAACTCGTGATGGCGTCCGTAAAATTTACGAAGGGATGATTTCAACTTCACCATTTGGAACTCTTGGTTTAATAGCTTCCTTGTGAGCAGCAATCCTCTATCAAGGAAATCATGATAGGAAATACAAGCCCGGGAATATCGTATCAATTGGGAGATATATACTCCGTATGCAATACCTGCCTCATATGCCCAAATATGGTCAAAATGTCTTATTTTGATAAATTTTGTGTAATTTCTGTTTTCTTTCTTGAAAAGTAATCTGACAAAGATCATTTTGTACTTGTAAGACCTTTTATTCACAATAATTGCGTTTTGTCCAAACTCATCTCCTATGCCTCAGACCACAATTATTCTTTCCATTGGTGACAATGCATTTCTTTTTTTTTTATAATGAATTTCTTTTTATTTGCACATGAACATAATAGTAAGTAATACACATTTTATGCACAATAATTATAATATATAAACAGAAGATATACAACATATTAAATAGACACAGCTGAAATAGTTTGGTACACTGCAGAATATGATTGCAAGACAAAGGCTGCTTGGATAGAGAATACATACAATATATATGGTGTCTGTTGTTCTTATGTCATTTTTATCGGTTTTTGTTAGAATACCAAATAAAACCAAATCAATATCTAAAGTTAGTTATATTTCTATCTTCTCAAATATCCAGGAGTTAAGGTCTTCCCATAATTTTGATATATACGGACAAGTCCAGAATATATGTTCTATTGTTTCGACCCCTCCGCACCCAAAACTACACTTATTTGTATCTTTAATTTTTATTTTAAAGAGAAGTTCATTCGTGCCTAAAATTCGATGTATTATTCTGTATTGAAACCACTGCAATTTAGAATTCTTGGTAATATAAAAGGGCAATATATGGATATTTTTCCAATTGTAGTTTGTATTGAGAATTAAGGACCATTTTTGTTCACATTTTTGTTTAGGATTTGACTTTTTACTATTTAAAATATTATACATGTCTTTTGAACCTCTCTGGGATTAAAAAAAAAACTTTTATAACTCAAACTGAGGGCAAAACTGGGCC